CCCCCCTCGCGGAGCAGAGACTCCTTTCATCCCTCCTCGAGAGGGTGTCGCCACCTGGATTGCCAAGCGTGAGGGGTCCGGGAGGCGGGGACCAGGACGCGGTGACCCGCCATGGCTCAAGCGGCCAAACAGCTGAAGAAAATCAAAGACATCGAGGCGCAGGCCCTCCAGGAGCAGAAAGAGAGGGAGGAAAACAGGAAGCGGAGGAACCGCTCCCGTGACCGAAAGAAGAAGGTAAGGGGGCGGCGGCGACAGTCCAGCGGCGGAGGCGCCCTGGAGGTGGCTGCGGGGGGAAGGGGCTGGTCAGACCCGGGAGCCCGGTGGGGCGCGGGCCCGGGCGCCGGCGGAGGGGATGCCGCCTGAGAGTGGAGGGCTCGGGGCGGGAGGAGAGGAGGGAGGAGGAGGCGGAGGTGCGGCGGGGAAGGGGAGAGNAAGCTGGCGCGCCGGGGCCGCGGAGACCTTTCAGCACCGCGGACAGCTGCCGGCAGGCCCGGGCCGTGCGGGAAGAACTTTTCCGGCCTCCCTCCGCAGGCGGGGATGGTGGTCTGCTGCGGTCCGGCTCGTCGCCTCTGGCTTTCCAAGGAATCTGGTTTGGGTGGACGCGGCTCCGGGCCTCCCTCGGTGACCCACGGTCAGGCGCGGAGAGCGTCGTTCCCAGGTCTCCGCACACCACTGGGGCTCCTGCCCTTCCCTGCCCCTTCTCGAGCCCAGGAAGCCTTTCCTAACGCTTTGGGACCGCAGCAGAAAGGCATGACCCCGGGCCTTTGGCAACGTCTTCTCTTCGGGTCACTTTAGATGAGCAGCCTATGGCCTGGAGGGGAAGTTCCTTTGGAAGCCAGACACAGGTGCTGTCCAGCCTGACCCGAGGCCTGGTCAGAGAACAGGTCTGCCTTCGCGGGCAGTACAGAGACAAGCCATGCCCCACAATGACCCAGACCTCTTAGGTAACTGTTGCTGTGTTCAGCACTTTCCTTTTGGGTCTGGGGTCTTCCTACCCCTTCCTCAAAGCACCCTTAGAAACATCTTTGGCGAGAAAAACCGTTTGGTTGGAAACACTTGATTTTGAATGGAAGGGGTCAGTTAACTAGGCAGAGGGCTCCAGACAAGAGGTGTTTTAGAGGCCCCTGCCCCTCCCCAGGAGGCCATGAGTGTGTGGATGCGGCTCTGAGATTGGAGATAGGGCCGAACTCCAGCTCCAGGAGAGCCATTTTAGCCTGAAGAGTCGATGTGGAGCATGGCCTGTGAGGCTCCTTGCCAGGGAGTAGGGCCCTTCAGGGTTCCAGGGCAGAGGCATTGCTCTTGGTGGAGAAGGAAATACTGTTTTCCTGAAATTGTCTCACCCTGAGAAAGAAGTTGGGAACCTTTGTTTGACAGCAGATTGTGGGGAACAGGCTGCCTGTGGGTCCCACTCCACTCACCAGTCAGCGGGACTAGCATCCAGCGTTTTCCTAGAGATGAGACACAGGGGGCAGAGATGTTCTCTGATTGTAACGAAGTAACCAGCTCACTCTAGGCTTTTCTGTACCCCTTCAAAAGACAGCCCCTCCTCCCTCAAGGGATTGCCATCTTGTGTGTAAATAGTAGTTTCACAAAAGTACCACCCCTTTAACAGGACCAAAAAAGAGGCCTTCCCCAAACCGATGGTGAATCACACTTTGGGTGGGTGCCACTTAGAAAGAGAATCTCATCCAGTCCTGCTGCTGGGGTCTGAAATACCAGAGCCCATCCTGTGAGTCAGGCAGGGGGAAGTCTGGTTATATCTGACAGTGTTCACCCACTTTCTTGGCATGAATGTAAACTTCTTGCTGGGAAGGCGTGCTCTCTATTTCCATTTCTGCCTATTGCTTTAGGAGCCAAGCCGATCCTCTCTCCCAAACTGCTCACTCTGTTTTTATCCCACTTCTTGCTCTCAAGCTTCTTCCTTGATGCTCCTGATACCATAAATTTTTTTTTTTTTGATCAATAGTCCGAAGAAAACTCCTGTCATCTCGCCTTTGATTTCATTCTACAAGACACCCTTTAATGTAACTCCGAATTCTGACTGCATGTAATACACGCATACCAAAGTTCACTTTCAATGTTCTTTTTCCTCCTTTGGTCTTAGTCTTTACATTATTAGTCAACTATGTCCATTTTCAGTGCTAGATGATGATATGTTCCTCCCCCCCCTGCCGACTTGTGTTAGGTTGTTTTACTAGCAGGTCACAGCATACTGCGTCAGTAAGCATTCAAAAATCTTCCATACAGATTTTCATTATTTTATGCAGTATCCTGGGTGCTATGATTGATACAACAATAATAAGGAAATCTTAACTCAAAGTGATAACCATGTCATAAATTCTTAAAGCTGATTCTTTGGGTAAGGGGGGATATGGTACATTTATATTTCGTGATGATTATGAATTCTCTTAGCCATTGGCATGGCCTTGAGAGCTATCTCAGAGAACAGAGTTAAAATTTATAGCAAAATACAAAACCACAAGAAGGTGGAAGGCTCTAGAGGGAAAGGTGAGGGAGGCAGAGAAATGCAGAGAAGAATATTTAGAGCAGGTGGAAGAGGCGCATATAGGGGCTGGTTAAGCAGATGGCTGGGGGGGCTAAATGGAAGGTTCATATAAGGTGAAGTCCAAGACCCATTTTTCACAGATGAAGTAATTTTTCAAGGCAAGCAGCTGAGGACTTTGCAGTTGGTCACAGACTGTGGGGATGCTGTGGAACTATCCTGACAACAGCTCATGAAGGAAGAACTTCATATATGCAAATAGACATTTTATTCCAGTGAATTGGAATTCATATGAATATACAGCCAAGCAGTGAGGACTCTGAATTGACTAAAAGGAAAGGTGTGTGTCGCATGGGTAACCTGCTTAATGGGGACTGATGGAGCAGAACCGCATCCCTCCTGTTTGTAGAAATAATCACGGTTGTAACTTCAGCGGTGGTTGCAGTTTTACAGTTGATGATGTTATGTGGGAAGGCGCCTGCTCAGGGGTGCTGTGCAACGGGGAAAGGAGGCTGATGTTGTGACGCACTGACTGACACAGATAGAAGCCACCTTGACACAGGGAACTGAGCTAAAACTCTGGAGCTCTGAAAACACCTGCATTCTTCTGGGGCTTCATTCAGGTTTCTGTTTGTGTAGCACACACCCTCGTCCGATGCTTGCTAGGGGAGCTGCAGCTTTTTAAAAAAGAATAAAATCCAGTATTTATGATATGTGCTGATAATTCCCCCTGCTTCTGAAGGTTTGGATGGAAATAAATCAATTGTGAAGCATGAAGAAAGCAGGCATTTGCATTAAGAACGACAGCTTTCTAGGGCTGAGGAAGCCTTGAGCATAAGAAAGCATGTGCTTTTTATGTTTAACCAGAGCTTGCAGTTGGGAGAGGGTGTATGGGAGGAAGAGGGACAGAATTAAAGACTGGAGGAAAGGATGAAGAGGTGAGGGAGACAGAGAGGGAAGGAAAGGAGCTGGCATCTCAGCCCTACTTTATTCTATTTGTTAATGTGTTTTTATTGATTTTTTTTAGAGAGAGAGAGGAAGGGAGAGGGAGCAAGAAAGGGAGAAATATTGATGTGAGAGAGAAACATCGATCGTTTGCCTTCATGTGCCCCAACCAGGGATCAAACCCGCAACCTGGGTATGTGCCCTGACCAGGAATCAAACCAGCGAGTGACCTTTCAGTGCACAGGACAGTGCTCAACCAACTGAGCAACACAAGCCAGGCGCAGCCCTACATTAAGGGGTTACACAGCCTGCTACCTGCAGTACCTGTTAAGTACCCTTGGATAATGTTTACCCAGCTCTCTGTCTGTCCCTCGCTCTCTCCAGGTACTTCATCTTCTGATGCTGGTGAAAGAAAAGGTCACGTCCTATTCATAGCTTTGTACCCAATACCCAGCTCAGTACCTGACAAACAGTGGGCATGCAATAAATAAACATTTGTGGAATGAGTGGTTGAATGAGTGGGTCCATATGTTTGTCTCTGCCTGGATGTTGTCTTGGTCATAGGCATGTGTTCAGGTGAACAATACTCTCTTTGATTGGCTGTATTTTGGGGGCATCTGAAGAAAGCCTGATATTGCCTTCTTTTCTAATCATTTGCAATGCAACAGAAATTTGTAGGCAGGCAGTGGAACCATCTAATTTTTTGATGCAGTGAATTCTACCACTGAGCATGTAGTTAGTTCCTTGCAGGGTCTCTGCTGCACGAAATGTCAAGTGGTTTTAGCTATTTGGAACAACAGCAGTGTTTGCACAGGGCTCCGGGGAGCCAAGCCAAGGAGGGCACGGAAAGAAAAAAGCGAGCCCAGGAATGGGAAGTGACCATCACCACTTTGCTGCGCAGGCAGTGCCAGAATTCGTCCCAGTCCTTGCAGCACTCCCAGAGGGCCGTCAGCCTTCCGCCACAGCTGGGCCAGGCCCTGCCCCTGGACCGCAGGCATAGCTTTGGTTGATCCAGTGATTGGAACCACAGAGGAGATATAGGGGCACCTGCATGAAACCAGAGTGGCTGGCTGGGCTTATCAGTTGTCACCAGACTGGTAGATGGATGGTCATGTGGGCCCATGTCACCCATTTGTAGAGGGCCTCAAATATATACTTCTGCTGTTATCTCCAAATGAGTTTATGCATTTAATCCAAGCGATAACTGACAAGATCAAAAGATAACAATGTTCATCACACATCTTTAAACCCACGCACTGTTGCTAAATGACATCACTAGTATATGTTGCAATATGAATTGATATGCATATATAAAGTCTCTGTTTAGCTTTTGAATAGTATAATTCTGTTGCGTTTCGTGTTTATTACTAAACGTGTTAATTTATTAGTTGCAAGCTTTAAAAATACACCACAACTTTGGTAACCCTGCCTTGGCTTCTCTTCTTATTTTAGTACCTTGGGAGCCTCAAAAAAATGGAAGTGGCCCTGCCCTTCTTGAGCTCTGGGAGGTGCTTGCAGTGGCTGAAGATGTGGGAATATTCTAAGCTGTTCTATGTCCATCTTCCAGCCCAGCAGCTCCCTCCCTGCTGCATAGGCGGGTGGGGTGCTGTTCCTGGGGTGCTCCTGTCACCCCCTCAACCGTCTGCCAGTCCAGGAGAACAGGTTTTTGAGGGCAGAGATATTATGCCCTTAATTATATCCAGAACTATATGGTTGGCACATCATTTGCTTCCCATAGGCATTGATGAAAGTGGGGCAGCAGCTGAAATTCAGAGCCTGAGGCGAG